GCTTCCCCCGCAGCTCTCCCAACCTGGCGGCCGTGGGCCGAGGCGCAGGTGCTGGATGATGCTCCAGGTGGAGATCAGCCCAGGCATCGTCCTGGAGATGCCAGTTCTGCTCTGGCCCCAGGGACGCGCAGCGAGGAAAAAGGGTGGGAAAGCGAGAGCCGCGGAGGAGCCCAGCATCGCCCAGGAACGCCTGGGTTGGGGCCGCTGCCCTGGCAGGGGCTCTCCGCCGACCTCGACGAAGTCCCTTGGCCCCCCTGAGCCTCTCTCCCACGCGCTGGGACCGGGATGCCCCAAGACGAACAGCGAGCTCTGGGTACCTAGCCTTGCCCCTATCCCTGCGCTGGGGACGCCAGCTCCGGCTGGAGCTGGGACGGGCCCCTGCGATCATCGGGGAGACAGGCACTGCATCGCCTTCCCCCTCCCAGGGCTCAAACCCAGGTGCCCCAATCTGCGATTTCCCCTTCGCTCATCTCCCACTCAGAGGGAAAAGAAACAGATGTGCCTGTATATTAAAGCAGATTAAACATAGACATCAGTGTTTACGTTGTATAAAACCCTGCAGCAGCCCAAATTACAAGCTGCCTCTTTGCTTTGCTTTGCAAGAAGTGCTCCGCGTCACTGGAGCTTTTGTTGTTGTGATCCTATTTATGTGCAGCTTGCTTTGGTACCCTTTCATCAGAGCCTTAAACGCTACTGAATTTCACTCTTGCTAGAGCCGCCCGTGATTCCTCCCCAGTTGCTTGCAAAGTTTGCAGGGCCTGTAGAGACAGCAAGGCTGGCCCGACAGCAGGAGCTGCAATGCCGATTGCCCCGCCACGGCCTCGCTGCTCGGACGCGGGAAACCCCGTCTCTCTGCCTTGCCGAGGCAGGAGGGAAGTCCTGGATGCCGCATGCATGGCAGGTCCCGTGCCCCTTGGCTCACACCGAGCCCAAAGATCAGATGCTTAGACGTGCCCGGACCCAGGAGCAGACTCTGGGCTCTCCAGGTTTGAGGATGGCAGGGGTATTTTGTGCAGATGGACAGCGAGGGTGCAGCAAATGGGCCTGGAGGAGCCTCTTCCCAGGGATGCTCCGAGATGCCAGGATTAAGATTAAGATCCCTGCAAGCCTCAGGCTGTTCTGGCAGCAGCAGAGACCAACCTCTCTGTAGCCCTTGGGGACATTTTCCTCCCTCCTTGCCCCCCTCAGCATGGTTTCCCTGGGGCCACCTGCACTTTTGGAGTGAGGCTCTCACTTGCCACAGCTGCTCCTTTCCAGCTGCATAGCTAGCCTCGGAGGCGCAGGATCCTGCCTGCCGTCTCTGCACTATTGTTTGAGTCACTCGAGGAAATGACGGGTCGGAAAAGCAGCCTGGTGCCATGTCTCCATCAAGTACAATCAAATCGCTTCCTGAGCTCCTCCGTGCAGCTCAATTTTATCCTGTTTACCCTGGATTTTTGGGAAAGCGCTCTCCACAAGTCTACATTCTTGGCTTGGCAGCCCTGACCTTAGAGGAAGGAGTGGTGAAGTGCTTCTGTCTAGGATTGCTGGTGCTGGAGAAAATCAGAGCTAGAGAGAGATAATTACTAGGTACAAGGGAGGGAGACATAAACATGTAGATGCTTGAGAGGAGTCATCACGATGCATTTGGTATCAGGATTCATCCAATTCGGGTCTCGCTTAGACCCTGGAAGAAGGAAGACTATGAATCTGATTTTAACCCAGGGTTTATGTGACATTAATCTACGCTTTGCTCTGGCTCATCATCATCCCACGGTCCTTTACCAGATAATTTTGATCAAAGAAAGCAGCTAGAAAACTCTAAACCATCATAACAACCTATTTTCCATCTAGCTGGGTTTTGTATTTGTCATCAGCATGGCAGAAGAACGCATCTTCCACCAGAGCCAGCAGCCTTCCTGCCTGATGGCAGGTGACAGCATGTCACACAGGACGTTCATGAAGCCAATTAAATTTTAGGAAGATAAAACCTCCCTGCTAATCCGCCCGTACTACTAAACGCTTTCTGTAAGAACTGAAGGTTTTGTGGGAATTATTAAATGTATGGATTAGCACGTGGGGAATTAAGGGGATTCCTCTCTCCAGTTTTACGTAAGAAGCCAGCCTCTCCGTGGCATTATCTGGCACAGCTCCACTGGTTTACAGGGGGTTCGTAGGATGAGAGCAGCATCTGGCCCCTGAGCAGTCCCAAGGTGCCGGCAAAAGCCAGAAAACAAGTCAGCAGCGAGCGGACTCCTCTCCTGGGGATGGAGCCGGGGGTCCTGCAGCATCTCTGCATTGATCTCGTTATGAAATCTCTTTTTAGAACATCACGCACGCAGGCGCACTCGCAAACACGCACACACGCGCCCAGCTCGACCGATTAGACAAGCTCTAGAAAATACCTCGAGATCAGCCTGTGCTGGATGAAGGGGAGCCCAGAGGGCATGTTGCTCCAGCTCGGAGCACGGCCCCGCTCTGCCCATGGCTCTAATTAACGGGCAGAGTCCCCGCACGTAACAGGGGCACCACAGCCAGGTGCCGGTTAACATGGCAGGAAGGAGACACAGATGGGGCTGGGATCACCCCCTCCTCCCTGCAATTCCCACGCGATGCCGGCCGGGCGCCTGGGGTGAAGGCAGCCCCCGCTCACTCACCTGGCCAGAAGCTGAGCAGCATCGCAAGCAGTAGCCGCAGTCGGGGTTTGCTCCTGGACAATTCCCCCTCCATTTCTTCTCAGCTCTCTGTGCAGATCAGTGGGCAGAGTCAGTGGCAGTAGAGATGGGGAGGAGCAAAGCCACATCGTGGTGTTGCAGCCCATAGGAAGCCGTACATTGCGGAGCCCGGCACGCCTATTAAATAGCTCACGTTAAACAATTAGCTGGCCAAAGGGAGCGCACAGGACTGACATTGCTGAGGACAGACAGCACAGCTGCCTTTGCCACCTGCGTGAGCAAGGCGGCAGGTCAATACGCTGGGGGCTGGTGGCCACTGCCCCACGCTAGTCTCCAGGGACATTACGGGATCCCTCCCCGGGCCAATTCAATTATCGGTCCCCAGACTGAAACCTGTGGAGGCTGGGACAGCTCTGCTATGTCTCACGCTGTCGCTGGGCCCTAATCAACGTTCATTTAAAAGTAGCTTTGCTATAGTAACTCCAGTTTCCTGGGGAAGCCCAGGCTGGATCCACATGTGGGAGGGGGGAGCCCAAGCCCTGAACCTGGGTGATCTGAGCACCTGCAGCTCCTCTCCCAGGGTGCCTGGAGGAGCGTCTGGGTGCCTGAGCACCCTCCAGCATCCCCCCAGCGGGCACCCCCAATTGCATAGGGATGACACCATGCGTCCGCTAGCGCATACGGGACGCACCTGGGGAAGAGCTTGTGTCTCAGTGGCTGTCCTGGTAGGGTCCAGTGGGGATGCCGAGGCCGCTGTAGGTCTGGAGCAACCAGAAGCAAATTGGCCCTGTCCCTGTGGGCAGGACCGAGAGGCAGGAGCAGTCACCAGGAGGCTGGTCCAGGATGGGCTCAGCTCCAGGACATGCCGGCGCTGTGCAAGCGGTCTCCCCCTTCCCTGCAGGGACAGAAGCGAGGGGACAGCACTGAGACCGCGGCAGGTCCCCAGAGAGTGGGGAGAGGCTCGCATTGGGCTTCCCCAAACCCATTCAGACACGTGCTTTGCGCCCTGCGTGGGCAGTGGATGGAAGGAATTATTTCCATTAACACGACCGAAAAAGCTTATTTTTTATTCAAAACCCTCAGCAGCTCAGGGCAAGAAGAGTAAGCCGCTAAGACATCACTTCACATTTTCTTTCAGCATGACAGAGCCTGGGGGAAGGCGTTAGCCGTTCTCCAAGCTGCTCTCCACTCTGAGATAAAATAATGAACCTGCAGCAGAAAGACCAGTGAATCCAGCCCCTCTCCCATGGCACTTCCACATGAGGAGCCCCTAATTGCCGAGGAAACTGAGGCAGGCGTAGGGGAGAGATGAGGGGAATTTATGGCCCCAAAACACTTGTTGGGATCTCTCCGAGCAGGGTGGGCGCCTGAGCAGGGCCTCTGTTCGGGGGCTGGACAACGTTGTCCGGGTTCATAGTTCCTCCCATACCCCTTGAAGGGAGACGGGAAATGAAAGTTGCTGAGATTAATTTTCCAACTAATGGGGAAAACCAGCTTGCTCTGAAAGAGCTGAGGAAGCAGAGAACAAAGCGGCTGGATGGCACAAAGGAAGCGCCCAAGAGTGCTGGGAGCGGCCCACGAGTGCTCAGCCCAGAGCACCACGGGACCGAGCGGAAAAAAAGAAAGAAAAAAAAAAAGACAAATCAGCCTGCAGGGGCACACTGCTTTGGCCCACGCTGAGGGCAGCCTGTCAGAATCGGTCAGGACAGGGCAGTCGCGGCTCCGTGGAAGGCAGCGCAAAGCCACCCCATCCCACAGTGGCCAGCCACGCGACGGGGCCGGGGACATCACCAGCTCTTATGCAAGTCCCACGCTTTCTTCGGGGAAAACCCCCTGCCTTTGGAAAGGCACCGAAGACTCATGCACTGGAACAGCCCTACAAAGCCAAAATGTGGCAGTGCTGGAATTTCCCCCAGCGCAGACCCCGTGTTTCTGGGTAACACAGAAATGGCCAGTTTCTCACTGGAGTTGCCATGCTGCTTCTCATGGATGTCTTTCCTTTTTCCAGCCTGGAGGTCTCTCTGGGTAGTTTGAGGGCACTGGGCACTTGCTGGGGACTTCTGGACATCTAGAAGCCTGGGCTGTGGCCACTGGGTTTCTTCAGATTGGGTCTGTGGCATGCTGGAGCTAACCAGCTGGTCTCTCCCTGAGCCATCAATGTCAGGAAGTGCGATGAGCTCTGTTCTCTGCAGGAATTGCAGCCATGGATGGGTGTTCAGGTGGCCATGGGAACTCTGGCCCCAGCCCCAGGAGAAGGACAGGCCTTGGGAATACCCAGAGGAGCAAAGCAACAGGAGCCAGCCCTGCCTCTTATGCTTCCCCAGCCCCAAACTGACATGGGGTAAGTCAGAGGATCACAGTTTGTACTGGTGCAAATGGCTCCCACAAACCACCTCCTAAGGCTGGAATTGGGCTGGCCACCAGAACAGGTTGTATTTATTGTCAGACAGAAAGGGAAGTCCCTGTGGCACGAAGAACCACGTAAAAGATGACTGGACACCGCCAACGCAAAGCAGAAAACGTCAGCTAGCATGGGCACAGAGGGCTGAGCCATACCCCACGTCCAGCCGGCAGGGCTCAGCACTATGCTCTGTTAAGTTCCTCCATAAAACTCCAGCCTTGCTCTTGCCTCTCACGGAGAGCTGCCTATCTCTGTCAGGGTGAGAGCTGCCACGTAGAGAGTCCTAGGAAGATCACTGCAGCCATCATGGTCCAGTGGCTGAGCCTGATCCATTCACCTGTGATGGGGAAAGGACCAAGGTCATGGGTGCAAAAAAGGCTCTGTGAGTATCCGTAAAGTCTCCACCACATCATGCTACCAGGCAGGAGCAAGCCCCCAGGTGTCTGTGGAGCTACCAGCAGTGTAAACAGGAGGAACCCCAGACCCCATCCCTCCTCTGCTGACCTCTCCACGCTGCCCTCACCTCCATTCCAGCACACACTCTGCAGGTCTATGGATCTCCTCCGCTCCTCCATGGCGCTACGGACCCTGCAGGTGAAGGAGATGTTCACAGAGCTGGGCTGCACCTCTACACTGAGCATCCCGCCACTGACTGGATGCACCCTGAGGCCCCCTTGGTCCCCATGGGGATTCATCCAGGTGACAGTGCCTCTGGTCCCACTGGGCACATGGCAGTGTAACGAGATGTTGCACCATGCAGGGGTTTTGGAAAGCAGCCAGCTCTGGATCTCAGGGTCCGGCAGTGGCTCTGCAGTCAGAGAGAATTACATGGAATTACAAAAGATGATCTTTCCTGCTCCCTCTGCAGGTGCTGGCAGCCTCAAGGCCCCTTGCATTGGGTCACTCGTTCCTAAAATGCCCCTTAGCGCTGCCCTGTAGTCCTGAGGTGCTCAGCAGGATGACAGTGGGTGTTGGGGACAGCTGATGCTCTGAAAGGCGAGGCAGAGGCTGGGAACAGCAGTATTAGCAGGGCAGGGAGCCAGAACTGCCTGCGGGTTAGGCTCCAGCCTTGCACACACAGGACAGAGCTGAGCCATGCAGCACAGTGAGGATGTGGCCCCCACAAGTGCACAGGCTGCAAGAAGAGGAAGAGCCCAGCGGTGAGCACCGCGTTGCAGCCAGCTGCCAGAGCTGATTAGCTCAACCCCAGCACTGCGCTAAGGCGGTTGCACTGCTCCGGAGTGGCATGCACGGTGCTGGGAGGACAGGAGGTGCGCAGGAGATGGCCTGAGGAGCTCCGAGCTGGAGCTGCGTACGTGCTTGCCGGCATCAGCTCTGCAGCTGCCACTCGGCAAATGAGGACCACCCATGTGCCGAGCACTGCGTCTGCGTGCTGAGCGAGGGGGAGGCTGGGTGGAGAGCAGGGCCCCAGCACTGCTGGCCAGGCAGGCACAGCACAGACCAGGTCCCCTGCTGCAGCATCCTGACGTGTGGCAAAGAAATAGCCATGGGGGGCAGGGAGCATCTTTGCTAGCAGCTGTGAAAATGATGCAATTTGCTGAGGACTCAGCTCAACATGACCGTAAACAGTCACTTTGCAGATAGGAAGTGAAATGACTGAATCTTTCCCCAGGGCTGGAAACATCCTAATTGCACTGCCAAGGGATACACATGAGCAGGTATTTAGCGTCGAAACTAGGGAATTTCTGCAATCTCTGACAGCTATCTATTTGCAGCAACTCACCGAAGACGGAGAGGTTGAAGGACTGATCCTCCACCAGCGCCGGGTGCAATTTAATCCGAGCCCCGTAGACCCCGCTGTCGCCCAGCTCCAGCGCCCCGATCCGCAGCGCCGTCTCGTTGAACATCTCCAGCCTCTGCTTGAAGCGGTCGCCGGGGTCGGGGCGCTCAAACCTGCCCGGGCTGAACTCCGCCACCTGGATCGTTGTGCCGGTGCCGGCCGAAAAGCTCCACTCGATTTCCCTCACCCTCGCGTCGGGGGGCAGAGCCGGGGAGAGCAGGACGGACCCTCCCAGGACACCATTCACCTGGCGAGGCTGGGCCCAGGCTTGGACTAATTGAGGATCAGACAATCAGGGTCCTGAAAAGAAGTTAAGAGAGGCCCCAGCAGCCTCTTGCCTCGTCCCTCACCCCAGCATCACCCCGAGGAAACCAACCACAGGGAAGCCCCAGACACTGGAGCAGGGTAGATGGACGGCTCATCTTCCTGCTGCCTTCACGCCTTTGCCCCGTAACAGAGCTGGCGTGGGGGTGTATTCCCCACTGCACAGGCCGACAAGGCATGGGGCGATGAGGAAACAGGAGTGGGTCCTTGAATCCTGAAATCGTCCTCGGTGGGGGTAGCTGGTATAGGAAGGAACCCAGTGCACCCCAGAGGACAGCATGCTCCACTCACTTCCCCTGCTGTTTTGTGGACAACTCCTTTCTCCTCCTTCACCTACCTGCAAACTGGACAGTCGCAGCAAGGAAGGCTGCCTCGATGAGCCAGGCATGGTGCGCGTCCATCCTCGCAGTCTCTCCGCGTTCCTGTGCTGTAGTAAATGACAGCAGTCAGAACCAGGGGTTCCTGCGTTCACATCCAGACACATATAAATAGCAAACCCCAGCAATTTCACACTTCATATGACCTTATCCGCAAGTGTCATAGCTCAGTAGTTCTTCCTTCACCTCCACCCTATAGCCTTGTGCTTGTGCACCTACGTTAGCTCTGCGGGTGCTGCGTAGAGGAGCCGTCTGCCCCAGCACGGCTGGACTGACGTGGACAGGACACCATGCCTCCACCTGCTGCGTGCTCCCAGCCAGCACCTCCCCTGCAGGAATGGGAAGGTGACTCGGGCCACTTGAGAAGTGACATTGGCCCTTCTGCACTGGGGCTGGAGGATCCTCACTCCTCCTAGGAGCCAGCCAGCATCACTCCCTCCCATTAGCCAGGCCTGTCTCATTGCCTCAGCACTGGGATCTGCTCGCCAGCGCACGGCAGGGCAAGCGAGGGGAGCCCTGCGGGTCAAAGCACTTTGGTTCACACAAGGAGTAATGTTGCTGCTCAGCTCTTGAAGGAAGTGTGCGGCTGAGTCCAGGGGAAAGCCCACTTCCCCTCCACCCCATCCCTGTCACAGCCCCCGAGACAACAGCCCTCTCCGACTGCGCAAAGTCTGCTCGAAGCATGAGCTCAGCCCTAACCCCGCTGTCGCCCAGCTCCAGCGCCCCGATCCGCAGCGCCGTCTCGTTGAACATCTCCAGCCTCTGCTTGAAGCGGTCGCCGGGGTCGGGGCGCTCAAACCTGCCCGGGCTGAACTCCGCCACCTGGATCGTTGTGCCGGTGCCGGCCGAAAAGCTCCACTCGATTTCCCTCACCCTCGCGTCGGGGGGCAGAGCCGGGGAGAGCAGGACGGACCCTCCCAGGACACCATTCACCTGGCGAGGCTGGGCCCGGGCTTGGCCAAACAGGAGCTCTGTGGACAAGGCAGAAAGTCCGCGTGGGGACACACAGAAGGAGCCCCCTCAGGGACTCCCTTTTCTGGGGAGCCGGGCACGAGCCGGGGTCCGTGCGTGCTGCTGCTGTACGTGTATCCCTCGTCCCACTAAAGCCCTGGCCGGGCTGGGGCTGCGCGAGGGTGGGATCTCAGCAAACATCATGTTTTCCCGAAGGTCCCAACCTCCCCTTCCCCGCTCTGGCGCTGCTCCTAGCGGCAGGGGGGGGAGGTGGGTGGCGGGGTTGGAGGCTGGTGTTGAAGAAGCAGCTACAAGTTCAGATGTTGCCTCCTCATCTGAACTGGCTACGGTCTAAAACTGCAGCATCTCACCCGAACAATGTTCCAAAAGGCTCTGGGAAGCGTTCCCTGCTAACATCTGCAAAACCTCATTGTCCTCCTTAAAACTCGCCTTTGCCCAGATGCCTACGAAAGACCAACAACAGTTAAGGCAGGGGATGGTGGGGCTCCGGCCGGGCTGCCAGGGGGGAGCTTTCGCCTCTGAGCAGCCCCATGCCGCGTGATGGCATGCCGAGGCGGATTTATTTTGGGCCCAGCCTGCTGCAAACCTCCCCCTCACTCCAGCCTCTCGTTCCGGCTGCAAAACCCAGTTTTCTCAAACCGATCAGCCCGGTGTCTGGCTGCCATCTGGGCAAGCCAGGATGGACCAAGGCATCTCCAGAGCCACCTCTCCCACCAGACTGGGCTTGCTCCAGCCGGGTGTGGGCAGCAGAGCTCGCCACCAACCATTAAGCCTTACAGTGCACCCTTTTTCAGGTTTTATTTGGCAGCATTGACAGCTCGCAGCACGATCACGACGGGAGCAGCTCGGCACAAACCTCCCTCGCTCCTGGCAGCTCCTGCCTCCCT